TGAAGGACTGAAGGAACTGTCCAAGGTCCTGAAAGTGCTGGAATGTTTTAGAACCTTGGACTCTCTGAAGGACTGAAGGAACTGTCCAAGGTCCTGAAAGTGCTGGAATGTTTTAGAACCTTGGACTCTCTGAAGGACTGAAGGAACTGTCCAAGGTCCTGAAAGTGCTGGAATGTTTTAGAACCTTGGACTCTCTGAAGGACTGAAGGAACTGTCCAAGGTCCTGAAAGTGCTGGAATGTTTTAGAACCTTGGACTCTCTGAAGGACTGAAGGAACTGTCCAAGGTCCTGAAAGTGCTGGAATGTTTTAGAACCTTGGACTCTCTGAAGGACTGAAGGAACTGTCCAAGGTCCTGAAAGTGCTGGAATGTTTTAGGACCTTGGACAGTGTAAAGGACTGAAGGTTCCCAAACCTTTTTAGACTTGTGTACCTCTGAGCCCTTTTGTCATAACACTAGTACCCCTTCAGTCAAACGTAATGCTATTTCTCTAAAACTATAATGTACACTGATTATTAAATTAAAATTGTTTTTTCAACCCCCTAGAACATTTAATTCTCAAGCATTTTATTTTTTCAACAGAAATTAAATATAAAGATTAATATGTTGCCTTGAAAGTGAATAAGTAATTAAATAAATAAACCAGGTAAATGCATGTGCAGAAAACAGCAGCGTCCAAAATACATCAGAAACTCATCCAAATGAGCAAATTCTTAGATTCTATATTTTATACTGGATTCCACTTTGTGTTGATTCCATGATTCCGTCCGCAATTTCCAGAAATTATAGGACCCCACAAATCTCAGTCCTATTTTTATTTTYTTACACACCTGGGAAATTTTTCCACGTATCCCCTGTAATGTGCTTGCGTACCCTAAGATGTACCTGTGGTTGGAAATCACTGCTCTAAGKCTTCAGATGTCAAACTCCGGTCCTTGAGGGCCTCTATCCAGCATGTTTTCTTGTTTTCCTGCTCAAACACACCTGATKTGCATGAATGGATGATTAAYAGGCTTCTGCACAAAAAGGTAAGGGAATCAYTGAATCRGGTGTGTTGGAGCAGAGAAACAATCTAAACATGCAGGACAGCAGTCTTCAGGGACCTGAGTTTGACACACCCCAATAACCATGTGAGACCTCCCCAGGTCCCACCCACACTGACATGACCCCACCGCTACAAGGTGTTAAATTTGCTTTGATTTTTATTACGATCTTATCACAATCTGAAGAACCTTTCTATGAGAGAGTTTTTTTTTTATTATTATTGGTGCTCTACCCCCAGTTTCAGTATTGGGAGGAAAATACCAACAGAAGCTTGAGGAGATGCAGCTGAAGGAGTTTCTGTGCAAAATTTCATCCTCCAGTTTCCAGAAAGTTCATCTTCCAACCACCAAAACCTTAAAATCCAAAGTCAGATCCTCTGACCATTTAAACCACATCCTCCAACCTCTGAAACCACATCCTCTGACCTCCAACACCTCATCACCCAACCTGCAAAACCTCATCACCCAACCTGTAAAACCACATCCTATGACCACCAAACTCATCCTCCAACTTCCTAAACCACATTCTGTGACCTCCAACCCCTAACTCTCCAGTCTCCAAAATCTCATCCTCCAGCTAGGGTTGGGTGATATTGGCAAAAAATCAATATGATTAATTGAGGTATTTAGTCGATAACGATTAATATGACGTTTAATCCCCTGGAGTCTCTGGACGCCTGCATGTCCTAGTCACATGACCAATTTAAATCACTCTAATGTGAAAGATTTGCTCTCCATAAAAATCTGTTACAAATTATGTCAAAAGTACAGACTTCAGGCTTTACATAAACTTTTAAATTGTGTTGATTGACCAAGAAAAAACAGAGTTATGATAAAGAAAATTACAGAACTTTAAAAAAAACGTTTGTCATATTTGAAGCAGAGAGGAGCATCAAGTGGACTGACCGGGGAAATCTCCAGTCAGTCTGCCTGGTGGTTTTAACCGTATTAATCGTCAAGTGTCAAAAAATAATTGAATAAAGTTTTTCTGACGATTAGTTGCACATGATACGATTTTGCCTAACCCTAAACCCTACCTCCAGCCTGCAAAACCTCATGTTTGCATGATATTTTGTTCCATTTCTCTTTAAGAGTAACAACCTTAGAGTTCACTCAGTCTCATGCATGAGAGGGAAAACGTGTCAGAACCTGAGAGCTCATGTCAGCCCTCAGTTGCCTCCACCAAACCACAACCTCTCATGTCTTCTTTCTCATTTCCTCCATGCAAATCTTTCAATGCTACTCAGTAGCTGACAGATCAGAAAGTGATGGAAATCAGCTACTGAATAAACTCGTTTTTTTTAGAGAAAATATCCCCATAATTACTGTCAGTGCATCAACAGATATTTTACAACACTTTCTAC